TAGAAAATTTATAAAAATTTTTTTTTAATTAATTTTCAATAACCTTTTGGATGTTGGTCGCACCGGGATTTGAGCCCGAGCCTTCCGTATTACAAAAATTGCATTTCAAAAATTGTTACTCTGTCTTCTTGAGTTAGCATCTGCAATGAATGACTCCTATAGTAGAGAGTGGCATGCCCAGACTTCATCCCCGTCTCGGTACCTAATATGTAACTGTGTTCTGGCACCCATACTTTGCCAAACATCAGTTAGAAGTTGAAGATTTTTAATAAGACTTTAAAAATAAAACTTTATACATTTCTGATTGATTTCAACAAGGAATCAGAAAATAGTGAAAATTATTAGGAGAGGTTACGGAGAATTATATGCTGCAATATGGGTCTAAAGTTTTATTAAGAGGAAATTATATTTTGAGAAGAGAGTATATATTCCCTCTATGCATTACTGAGTTGAGTTGAGTTGATTCGGCTGCTGGGCATTACCAACGCACTTAGGCCAATAGGCTCATCCTGATACCATTGTGAGCCTCCTATCTTCACTTTCTCAAATGATCGAACCATTTCGTGTGCCTCATTAAAGCAATGAGATTTTCAATTTCACTGAAGCTAGTTCAGTGAGATAGCCGAGGAAGGGTTTCTTGAGGAACTTGTATCGCACAGATGTCATTCACTAAATGCATATTTCTCACTTCGTGATCTCCGCGCCAGCTATTATGTGCTTACATGCTGCTTAAGAGTGCAGAAGGTTAGCTGCTACTTTATGTCATCAACTATTTTTTTTTCCTGCTTCTTAAGATATCCATCAATTTAGTAATGCTGCACTTTGCTATAAGCTTCAAGGAAGAGATGTACTTATACATGTATACATATACATAATATGTACATGCGAGGGATGACTGCTGCACTCTTCATTTGCTGTAAATGCAAATAATGCTCAGACTGCATGCATATATATGTATGTAGATATGTTTCTTTGGATAAATATACATTTATCTAACTAAATGTGAGCATTGCACTATGCCGCGTGCCAGCTTGGTGCACGCTCCTACATCTATGTAGGGTAAAAGCGCATGTATATATGTATGTACACTTCTACAGACATATTTATTTACTCGTACATGCATAATCATATTTTGTTAGCAAATTTGTTTTTTTTTTTTGCTTTGCTTCGTCTCGTTTTTTATTACCTTTTCGCATCTTTGCGAGAATTATGTTTCCTGGTTGTCGGTTAGCCCATTTACATGAAAAGCATTGAATCGTTTGCGCTACTGCTTTCATATATATGTGCATATATGTGCATATGTATGCAAGTAGTTGAAATGTAAAAGAGCTTAAGTGATAATTTTCAAATTTCAGAAGGGGCACCAGAAAATATATAAAAAAATATTAGATTACACATAAAATCAAATATATAACATTTTTCGAATATAAATTTGAAATAAAATAAAAAATAATTAAAATTTCAAAATATGTATAGATTTTGTGGAGTAAAAAAATTAATTATAAGTTTACAAAGAAAAAAAATTAAACATTTTTACAAACGTAGAGAAAACATATTTTAAAAAAGAATCTACCTTCCGGTTTTTTTTGCTCTTCATTCAATGCTTTATAAAAAGTGTTACAGTGATCGGATTTAGTTCAAATATGCGCCGTTTTGTTCGATGATCTGTTTCCATCTAGACGGCAACTTCATAATACCTTCCTCGTAGAAGCTTCCATCCTTATTTGCGAAGAATTCGGACAGATACTTTTCACAAGCCTCTTTTGAGTTTACTTCACCCTACCAAGGGCATTCGCCATGGACAGGAACAGGTGGTAATCACTTGACGCTACGTCCGGACTATATGGTGGATGCGATAAAACCTCCCATCCGAGCTCCCGTAGCTTCTGACGAGTCATCAACGAAGTGTGTCGTCTGGCGTTGTCCTGGTGGAACACTACACCCTTCTTGTTGGTCAATTCTGGACGCTTCTGGTCGATCGCCTGCTTCAAGCGGTCCAGTTGTTCGCAGTAGATGGAAGAATTAAGCGTCTGGCCATATGGGAGCAGCTCATAGTGAATGATTCCCTTCCAATCCCACCAAACAGACAGCAAAACCTTCCTGGCCGTCAATCCCGGTTTGGCCACTGTTTGGGACGATTCACCGGCCTTCGACCACGACCGTTTTCGCTTGATATTGTCGTATGTGTCGTTTTCACCGGCTCTGAATCGTCGAAACCATTCCTCCGCGGTTCGAAGTGATAGAGTACCATCCCCCAAAACACTATTAATTTCCCGGAACGTTTCTCTAGCGGATTTGCCTTTAACGAAGGAAAACTTTAAAATAGCTCGAATTTCGGCGTTAGTGAACTCCTTGTTTGCACGTCTATAACTGTTGAACGCAATATCCAAACTAATCATGTATAGCGTTGTTTTGTAGGTTATGTCAAGACCTTTCAAATTATGTATGGTGTTGCCAGATACGAGCTCTGTAGCGCTTTGTACATAGCCGCGAAATTCAAAAGACAAAAAAGCGGAAGGGAGATATTTGACAACCTAATATATAATAAAAAATTAAATAAAAGCCAACCTTATTTTTGGAAATTTTTTCATTGAACAGAAAAAATGTATAGTTAAAAAAAATTAATTAAAATTTTATTAAAAAATATATATTATTTCTTTTTTTTTTTGATTATTTTTTATTATTTTGATTATTGTAATTATTTTTTTGTTTAATACAAAAGTGAAATTAAAAAAAAATATATAAAATTTCTGATCAAATATTTTCAATCAAATGCTGGTAATCCCTAGTGGACAATTTAAGAATTGCATATGAGAGGTTGGCCGCTGAAATAAGTTTTAAATTATAATTAATTATAATTGAAATTAATTGATTTATTAGAGTGTCATTGTAAAAAAATGAATGAGCTCAAGGTAACGACTTTGAAAGGATAACAAATTTGGATCAAATTATGCAAACAATTAAAAATATATTTTAAATCAAAAATATTTATTTTTAAGGAATTAAAATATTTGCAAAAAAAATAGTAATTTTTTTCATAATTTTTCAGTTCATAGTTAGCTCCTTTCCGCATTTCACCGGTTTATTTGTACTTTTGTACAATGCTTCCTTCAACGACATTGTCGCAGCATATTAATATATATATGTGCAGATATGTGTACATATGTAGCTGTTTGGCTTTATGAATCTTCCGTCATCATATATATATTTTTTTTACATTTGTTGACTTAATCAGATTTATAACACATATTTCACAGTCATTCAGCCGTCAATTCAGACACACATCAACATTTTATGCGATTGCATCAGCGAGCTTAAGCTGAAGTTTTTTCTTTGAATTTTCACGTTGTACATATGTATGTATGTTTAGCGCTTGGTTATTTGCAAATAAAAGGTAATGTATTCATGAGCAAGCAAATATATATATATGTACGTATATGGACGCGTGTGTGTGTGTGTTTGTTTGTATGTACGTGCATCTTGATAATTTGCATATCATTTATTATGCCTCTTGCTTACACATTTATTTCAAATTTCGCATGTTCATTTTCAACTTGGCTTTCTTGCATTAGAAAATAATGCAATAGTAACAACAACAACATTAACAACAAGACAGTTTTAAGTTACTCAACTTCCTTTTATGATCTGTGATTAATGCGGTTTATGGCGTGAACATGTGTTGAGGCTTTGCGTTGGCCACCCAGCGAAGGAAAGGCAAAAGGAAAAGTGATAAAAAATTATAAAAAAATTGAAAATGAAGATGAACTAATGTTCTAAACAAATTTCTGTATCTTCATTGCATTTCTCTTGCATAAACATAATATAATGTACACATGTATATATGTATATATGTAACATTGTATATACACCAAAGCTTCTTTTAATTAACTCGCAGTGAAATGCACATAACATACAAATACATACATACTTTTATTATATATTGCGAGTTAAAAAAATATTTATCTGCCACTATTTGCATGCAGAGAGTATAATATTTGCCCTGCCTATGAGTGCACTCTATTAATAGGTGCATGTGTGCGTGCTTGACACATTTTGAAAGCGAAAAGTGAATTTATACCTTGAAACTGCAAGTTTAGCAATTAAAATAAGCTTTTAGTTATGCACATAAAACAAGTGAATCCATTCATAAAGAACACTCTCTGGCTTGAGCTAATACAGATGTGCATGGAGATTACCCTGCAAGAATTTGTGGGACATACGTTGCCTTGGGTTAATCCAAAAACTAGTCCTTGTCGCCAACTATCGGATCAATTTGCTCCACGTTGTTGTTAGCCGATGAATGCTCGTGTTTTAACAATCACAATTGCCAAACGAAGATGATTGTGCACAATAAGATTTTTATTCGTATACAGAAAATGTGTGAAAAAGAAATTGAGTTAGTTTTGTTTTTGTTTTTTTAGCAATAAAATATTAATTTAAGTTTATATGATAAATATTATGCTAGAATACATGTTTGTATGTAGGTTTGAACCAAAGCGAAACTAGAACCTATGTCTAAATGTCATTTTTCGAATATACACCAAAATGTAATCCACTGCAGGTACTCCGTGGACTAGTTTTTGGGTTAGTTTCAAGACTAGTTTCATGTATACAATCCATGTCACGGTCCAGCAATGCAAATGGAACCATATTTTTCGTAAGGATTGTGGTAAATTTTGGACTACTCCTTTGTACGCGTTGTTTTCAGGGTAGTTATACACATATATAATATGCAGATATGCATAAACGTATGTGCATACCAAGCGATAGATGCATGGATTTGCTTGCTTTGAAACTGTGAGTTAATTAAATTCGCACTCTCACACATAACTGAATATAATATCCAGCAAGGCCATGGCATAATATGCACCTGTATTGTTTCAATAAATACATAGTACATGTGTATACTACATATTTAAGTTAAAGTATATTTTTGTTTTAAATAAATGCGAAATTTTTGGTGAAAATTCATATCCATGCTAAGTAAATATTTCGCTTACCTTCTCGAGTTACATTCGCTGTGTGGTTGTGGTGCTGTAATGAAGAGAAAAAGGAGTTGTTAAAAATAATAAATAATATTTAAAAAACAAAAAAAATATTTTCACTTATTTCAACTTAAAATAAAGAAATTAAATAAAAGTTATCTAAATTTGTTTATTAGCATTTTTTATAAAAAAAATTGAATTAACATAAAAAGTTCAATGAAAATTAAATCCATTATTAAACTTAAAATAAAAATGAAAATTTAAAAAAAATTATAATCGAAATAAAAATTAAAAGAGAAATTAAAATTAAATATAAAATAAGATTACAATTAAAAATAAAGTTAAAATTAAAAAAAAATAAAATTAAAATTAAAATTAAAATTCGAGTTATAATTAAAATTAATATTTATATAAAATTGGATTTAAAAAATAAATAAAAAAAAATTAGAAATAAAATAAGAAATAAAATTAAAATCAAAATCGAAATTAATATCAAAATATATTTTTTATTTTTTTTTTAAATTAAAGTTGGAGTCAAAATTAAAATTGAAATAGAAATTAAAACTAAAATTAAAATTAAAATCTAATTCAAATCCAAATTACAATTAAAATTCAAGTTATAATTAAAATTAGTATTAATTTAAAATTAAATTTAAATAAAAATAAAACCAATAATAAAAATTAGAAATAAAAAAATATATAAAATTAAATTTTTTTTAAAATCAAAATTAAAATTCAAATTGAATATAAAATAAATTTGAATTAAAATTAAATTAAAACCGAAATTAAAATTAAAGTTAAAATCAAACTTAAAATTGAAATAAAAATTAACACTAAAATTTAAATTAAATTAAAATAAAATTTGAAATTAATAAAAGAAACTTTAAAAGTTATATTTAGTAATTAGCAGCAAAATTAAAAAGCCAAAAAAGTTTTTTACCAGCATATTTTTATATTAACAATTATTATAAAAAAAAATAAATTTAAATTATATTAAATTTCTCATTGAATGAAAATTAAAATTAAATAATAACCAAAGTAAATATTTCAAATGAACATCTAATTTGAGATTCCAATCGGTAATGTTGGAAAATATTGAACAAATATTTAATGTGAAAAAGTGTTTGGTAAATACAGTTGCAACTTTGAATAGGCCTAATTAGAAACGTGTTTCTAAAAATGAAAGAGTCTTTAAAAAATTCACTTGCCACATATTCACTACTGTTCCACTCGAAAATGAATGTAAAATCGAAATTAGGCATTTATGCTGAGTCAAAGACAAAGCCAATAATAGCTCGGCGAACAATGCCTGAAGCAGCTCTTAATGTATGCAAAGCTTAAAAAACGAAAATAAATTGCCAAAAAAAAATTAAGCTTAAGGAAAGCAATTAAAAACAGACAAGAAAAGACTAAAAACCAGAAAACACGAAACAATGATTTCAATTTCGGCTTATGTATATCGAAAAGCAATCAAATGCAATTAAAAGTCAATAAGCGCAAGTCGTACAATGGAGCACAAGAAAAAATATTGAAAATAATAAAAAATGAAAAGCAGCGAAAGAAGAATGTTAGCGAAGAAACAATGAATAAGAGATAACTTAGTATTAAATAGTTAATGCGGCCAAAATGTCAGCGGTAAAGTGGTGGAGTTAAATACATTTATTCGTGTTGAAGGAATTTGGGTGGCTCTTGCGTTCTTAAGAAAATGAAAAGTTGTAAGTCATGTTTTCTTGGCGCTTTAATGTAGTGTTCTACAAACAACCCAACCAATAAGGTAGAGTAGACGATGTAAGCAATTATGCTACTACAGTGAAACCTGCCTAAAACCGAGTACCAAATCTATGTAGGTAGGTAAAGTGGTTGTCTTGCGAGGCACCTAGGCCTTTAGTAAGCTCATGCATCCTGCCGGTACTGAAATTCCATCTCACAACCATGCCCTCGTATGGAGTTTTGGCATGGTTATAATAATATTTTTGTTACATTTTGACATATGAGAGAGAAGATAAAGTTTTTCACATACTAGTCTAGGCTTTTCTAAGCTCCAAATTTCAAGCTAATCGAACTTTGAGGTAGATCGGTTTTGTAATCAAAAATTCCTCCTCACATTGACGTAGGCAAAGAGCCACAAATGTTCTAGATATCGAATAACTCGAACCATAAACACGATTTTTTTGAAGAGATCGGACCTGAGATCACTTCCAAACAGGAAATGTTTCCACATCATACACCTATGTTCCATATATTATGCAAAACCGAAACCTTCAATCAATCACTGGTCAACAGGTCCTGAATGAAAATTCCACATGCCGGAAAATCCATTGCTAGTGGATTCCTACTTCATATGTAAATTTCAGGATTCTACGATCAGTAGTTTAGGCTGTGAGTCATTCAGAACAAAGCTTTTCCTTCCTTTTTCCTCTACTGGCAACTTCTGCAGTAGTCATTGTATGGCATTACCACCGTACTGTCCACAAATAAGACCTTTTAGCACTTTCGAGAAGCTTGGCTTTCTGACTATATGTATGTAAATGTTTTTTGTAGTAAGAACACGCTTTGTCAGAATCAGTAGGCTCTCTTTAATTGCAGCAAGCTTTACCTGGGAAATATGGCAGTGATCTGGTAGGCAAAAGGCGATTCTGATATCTAATTTTGTCGAAAAGTCGTAACCTCCTATCGGATTATCTAATTTGTACTCGTCTGTATATATGATAATTCCTGTGCCTTTGCCCCATTTTCCCCCTTATACTTTCTTTATGCATTTCTCTCTGGAGCGGGAAGCACAATTGCATCGCGAGTTTAAATTTGTTTCCGGAGAGATGGCGAAAGTCCATATCTTTGGGTAGGCTTAAAAAAGAAATGAGTAAGAGAGAAATATTTATAAGTGTGATTACGAGTATTACTCAGCTTCCGATCTTTTACCCCTCTGTTTGCTCTAGATTTCGTTGTGCATTTTTTGTATGCTTTCCTTCTAATTCAAACATTATTATTGTTTTCTTTTTAAACTTATCACCCTAATGAAGATTGTTTATATTGGCAGATTAATTCGAGACGTTCTCATAAGATGGCTCCATTCGTAAGTTACGGATGATCTTGGAAATGATTACCTATTTCAATGGAAAGGTTTCTGACGAACCTGACCAAAACGAATTGTTTGAAGCTGAAGAAACGATCTAAAGGTGATTTTGCTACAAGAACACTCTCGGTCTCATGTGATTCTAACGATGAAATACTATCAGGGAACGCTAAAATGAGGTCTTACACCCACCCGAGGTATTCTCCAAACCTTGCTTCTTTCGACTACTGGCACCTTTTGGGTCACTGGTTCGGGTCTATTTTTGAAGAGATCGAAAAATGGTTCAATAATTTAATCGAGGGCAGAGCGGACTAATTTTTTTGAGTTATTTATTTTTTTTTTGTTTTTGAAAATTACCCGAAAGATGAGAAAAAGTAGTCGTTTCTGATGAGCAATTTAATTGAATGATGTACTTATTTTTTTATTTTTTCAATTAAAAACAATTTTTGGAATACAAACAACAAACCGAATTAATTGTACAACCAATAATTAAATATTTTGAATATTAATAATAAACAAAGTTCTCCTGTATCTCTAAGAGCCAGAATCATAAGGCATAAATCTCTATGAGCGAAAAATAATCACGATTCCTTGAAGTCTATCTTAACCAGGTTTCACTGTAATAAGAAAAAAAGAGAGAGAAAAATTTAAGGGAGTGTTGCAAGTATTCAAATTGCGGTTGATTCGCTGATGATTGTAATCTTGATTTCAACTTGCTCAATACAAACTTCCACAAAAAAATCTCTTATTAATTTACAGTACCAGCGCCACAACTACAATAATAAATAATAATAGCAACAAAGCACCGCTTTCGTGTTGCCATTATGCAGGTGTAGCCACCTGCCCGGACATGACCAATTGCTATTGCGGTAAAACACGAAGTGGTTCAACGTGTCACTGAAAGGAAAACGTAAATTAAAATATATATATATTTGTGCATAGACTTCACTGTGTCAGTGGTGGTGCGGGCGTTGATTTTAACAGCTTCATAGTTGTTTATAGTTTTTTTTTTTTTAATTTTTATTAACCTGTCCCCTTTCACCGTGTTCTAGTTGTATTGAAAATCGATTTAATTTGTATTATTTTTCACTTTTATAACAGTTTATAGCTGAAAAGAATCGGGACTATTTTCCTCATCTGAGCATTGGATTAATAATAATTTTCTTTGATTTTTTTTTCTCTTCTTTTTTTGAGTTTTTATTTTTTTCTATTTTTTTTCCTAAATATTTGTCTATCTTTTTTGCCATTGCGCTCTGATTGCATTTGACACGAAATTGTGATTTATTCTAACTTTATTACTCCAAGCGCTGAGATTTTTCATACGTTTTATTCGTTCGTTCGTTCGTTTGTTCGTTTGCGCCAGCGCTGGTTCTGGTTCTGTCTGCTGTGGTTATGTTTGTCTGTCTGTCTGCCTGTCTGTTGTTGTCCTAGAAAGAGGCCGTACGTGTTAACCTTGATTTTGTGCAGCAGCAATAAAAGCTAAATCGTAATTTACCCGCAGACTAGGTTTTTATACTTTTACTATTTTTTGTTGCATTTTGCTTTTCTTTTTTATTTATACTCTTAAAGCAATTTAAATTTTTTTGCAATACTATCAACAGATTTGTAGATTCGATTTTCATTTAAAAAAATCAAGTCTTGTGCATCTGAATTTATAACATTTTCCAATCGTTCTCGAAATTTTTGGATTGGAGAATTAGCAAAATTTTTAATGCTCTGTCTGCTTTCGTTTTCCAGTGAGTGCGTTCTACATTGATCGTAACAAAAGATAGTCAAAAAGTGTAAGATCTGAGTTATAAAGTGAGTGAGGCAAAACTTCCCAGCCGCTATTTTCCAAATAGCTTCTAACGACTTTTTGTAACGTTTAAACGACATTTCTGACATACACGATCGTCGTTCAATGTATCTTGGCTTCATTGCAACCAATTGTTTGCCTTGGAATGGTTTTATCAACAGTCCTCACCAGACAAAACGTT